AAGCAAATATAAAACGTAAAATGTCCCAGGCCTGGTTCTCCCTCGCCCTTCACTGCCGTCATTCTTTCTTATATTCGTCTGGAACTCGAGGCCGGTGTGTCGTAGTGTGCTTCATACTAGAGTAATGTTAATAAAACATGAATACATTAACTCATCCATGAACGATTTTTGCCTTGAGTCCCATCGGATTGCTTTTCATCGGCTGTGGAGGTGAAGTTGACAAATCCCACGCTTACTCACCATCAAGCTACACCTTTGTTATTGTTTTTAATAAGCAACCCAAGAAACTTGAATACTGTGCCTTGGCAGAAATATTCTTACAAAACAAATGGGATATTTCTGTATCACAAATACAAGTAGTATTACTAGAGTGCATGACAGCATCAATTTGAAGTAAATTTATTCATAATATAACTAGGAAAAAACCAGCCTGTTTATATGGACCAGTCTGACCAGTAGCATGATTTGTTATCAGTTGCAATTATATTTATTTTAAAGATCTCAATCATCTCAATTTTAGAGATTTTGGTCTTTACCATTCAAGAAGATACAAAATAGCTGCCCGGGATTTTACGCACGAGTGCCACGTTTATCTAGCAGCTTTTTTCCTTCTTTTTTTAAACACAAGAGCGTGTCTTGTATGAATGGTCATTTTGAACATCTAAGACCTTGTCTACCCTCAGGGAACACTTTCTCCCCAGAACTCTCTGCACAGAAGCATCTTTGACAAGAGAGATTAATCTAAGATAGAGGAGTATGGAGTTTCATGTTTACACCCACCAAACAGATTAATTAGAGGAATAGAGGAAGCACACAGTCAGGGACAAAATGCTCATTTATCATGAAGGGAAATGATGGAGAGCGAGCGAGATGGAGGAAGAGAGAGAGGCGCAGATGTTAATGCGGAGTCCGTCTGCTTTACAGAGAGGAAGTCGACGTAGTGTGAATTGTAGCAAATCAAATTACAGCCTTCTCAACGTCTGAAAACTAACACCATTCGGACACAGAAAAATAACATCCAGTTATGACAGGTTTTTTTTGGGCTTTTGGTCAATCATTCAGTCATACTCTTCACAGACTGCTTCAAATGTTAGCAAACAAGTCGCTATAAATGCTGTATGAGATAAGTTGTTTGTCGATATTTTGATTAATATGGACAAAATTATCAATTCTGTGTGCATGTAGGCTTATAGGTATAGCTAATATAAAGGCCTTTGATGAATGAGTCAATTCTGTTTAAATTCCCTGTTATGTTATACCGGTTATTACAGCAAAATGAAGTGGAACCAGAACATGGAGCAAATTTATTAACCAAAAATGAAAGAAAAATTAAAATACAGTCATTTACTCACCAAGATCTGTGACTTTCTCTCTCACTAGAACATAAAAGAAGATATTTAAAAGAATGTTGGTAAACAGACGGCTTTTGGTGACCATTGACGTGAGGGTTAGTAATTGATGATGTAATTTAATTTTATGTGTGAATCTAGCCAATGGCCTACAGAGAAACAAATGTAACAGTCCATATAAGATTTATATACGGATTTATATAGAGATTTATTCATACATTTTTACTGTTGTTTCATTTGAATGTGTTTTTGTCATTTTAATTTCTTTTTAAGTTTAATTTATATTTCAGATTTAGTCTCTTGGCAATTTTAATTTTAATTATTTTATTTCAGTTCGCTGTCAAGATGGCAAAACATCCAATTTCCATTTTAGTTTGTCATCTTTAAATGAACAAAAACAGTTATAATCGTTTCAGTTGATATCTACACCCTGCCACTGACAACAATTATCAATAATCCTCCAATAACCCCCCAATCATTCGATTTAGAATATTTGAAGAGTTCAGATGCAAAAGCCTTTAAATGCCATTTGAAATTTTCTTCTTTAATGATGATTTTTATCAAACTTGTATATTTAAGTTCAGTAATTGCACTTAAATAACAATTAATAGGTAATTATCATTGCCATTTAAGTGAAATCACTGAACTTAAATATACAAGCTTGATAAAAATCATCATTAAAGAAGAAAATTTCAAATGGCATTTAGAGGCTTTTGCATCTGAACTCTTCATATAGACCATTCTGACAGACCATTATGAGGTGATCATTACATTAATAAAAATGCAGCAGCAGCAAAAGCAAATGTTCTTTCTCTTAATAAACAGGATTTGGAATGGTAGAAAGTTCTTCCACACCAGCTGGTCATTGAGACCTGAAGCACAAGACACTATTCATCAACCTCCACAAGATGCCAAAAACACATCTCAAAAACAGAGCATCTCTCTCCTCCACACACAGAAATACACACACCACACACAGCTGTGTCCTGATGAATGCTCCTGATTTATTCCGCAGGAACTGGGGACATTTGTTACTTGCGACACTTCCCTCTCTTCCTCTCGGTTTCTTGCTTTGATAAAGCTGCCAGCTGCTTCAGTTACAAACACTCTTTTGATCTCTCGACTTCTGCTGGCCAAAACGGACTTCCGTCTTTACAAAAAATAATTCTCACACAGAGCAGGAGACAATGGAATGCCAGAGCAGAGCCTATATAAGCCAATGGATTGAGAGTACTGTAGTTTGAGTAAGAAAGATCCATTCTAAACTTGATTTAATAATCTAAAGACCCCTTTTGAATCATTCATGTGCCGTAACAGTAGGTCAGATCAGTGTGAAACAAGGTTAAAACCTCAAGGGAGATATATTACATGAGGTGAATAAACCCAAAAGGAGCAAAACATGTCTGGCATCATAGAATATAATAAGTTATAATACCTTATATACCTGTTATAATAAACAGTCAATATCCTAGCAATATGCATGCTAATAAGCAACTACAGTAGTTCATAGTGAGAACTGGAGCTTAAATTAAAGTGTTATCAAATGTTTTTTCTCCATGAACACATTGGCCACAATTATAGCCTAGACTTTATAATGCTTAAAAGGATGGTTCACCCAAAAATGAAAATTAACAACGCATTCTCACCCCAAGGCGTCACCTTTGACCATGCTTCAATATTTGACGTTTTAGGCGCCCTTTAGCGTCACTTACATGACGCGATCCTACGGCGTCATCTAACTGACGCTAAAGGAAAGCGTCAGTTAGAGGACGCGGTTAGGTTTAGGTGTGGGGTGGGGGTAGGGTACACGCGATCCTAGGGCGTCATCTAACTGACACTAAAGGGCGCCTAAAGCGTCAGATATTGAAGCATGTCCAAATGCTTCCCAAGGCGTCAGTTAAGTGACGCCTTTGGGGTGAGAATGGGCTGAAATTAAGTCATTAATTACTCACCCTCATGCTGTACCAACCCCGTAAGACCTTTGTTCGTCTTCGGAACACAAATGAAGATATTTTTGATTCAATTTGAGAGGTGGATCACTACTACATAGGCTCCTAAGGGATTGAAAGACAATGAAGAAAATGTTTAAATATTCCATGTGACTACAGTGGCTCAACTATAAGTTTATCAGGCGACGAGAATACTTTTTGTGCGGAAATAAAACAAAAATAACGACTTTATTCGACTATTCCTTTTTTTTTTCCTTGTAGGCCTGAGACGAGAGTTCAAGAGATTTCCACGACGCATGCGCGAGAACTGAACTAGGAGTAGAATAAGGAGCCCGGTCTCATGAAAGTTCATATCTATAGCACGAATGTCATTTCTCATGCCATTTATACGCCAAAACTAGTTTTTGCGTGTATATGGTACGCGTTTTTGCGAGCATATGATACACACTTTTTTGGCGTATAATAAGTACGAACTCCCCACCCCCCTAAACCTACCCAGGGGGTTTTCAGTGTGTAGCATATGCACGCAAAAAACAAATTTTGGCATATAAATGCCACGAGAAATGACAATAGATATGCACTTTCATGAGGCTGTGTTGGAATAAGAACACAGTTCTCGCGCATGCGTTGTGGAAATCTCTTGAACTCTCGTCTCAGGCCTACAAGGAAAAGTCGAATAAAGTCGTTATTTTTGTTTTATTTCCGCACAAAAGGTATTCTAGTCGCTTGATAAACTTATAGTTGAGCCACTGTTGTCACATGGAATATTTAAACATTTTATTCAATGTCTTTCTGGGGCGTCAAGTTTCGATCCCTTAGGAGCCTATTTGGTAGTGATCCAGCTCTCAAATTTAATCAAAAATATCTTCATTTGTGTTCCGAAGACGAACAAAGGACTTACAGGGTAAACCTGTAAATGGTAAACCATGGGGGTGAGTAATTAATGACTTAATTTAAATTTTTGGGTGAACCAACCCTTTAATTGTGGCAAAAGTGTATTAGAGAAAAAAAACATTTGATTTCACCCTAATTACAATTGTTTGACTTCAATGAAATTTTTTTTTTTTTTTTTTAATAAAAGATAAAAAAAAAGATGCAGATTTGCACAGGCTTGCTCACATTTACCAAGGCAAGGGTGCCAATAACCCTGACCAGGACTAGTCTGCATCAAGTTCACAGTAAGCACAAATAACATCCATCTGTTTCTGCCCTACAGGTCAGACTTCACAGAATCTGCTTCATTACACGGTACAGCAAATAAACCTGTGACATTTAAACTGGCTGCCGATTCTTCAATTGAATGTAACTTACCTGAGCACAAGGCTACAAACTCAAACCTGCAGTGAGCTTGCTCTGATGTCCTCTGTGAAGAATGGTCTAAATAAAACGAGCAACGAGCAAACTCTACCATATAGGAAACACAGCCCTTTACTTCTTCCATTTCATCCCATTCTGTTTTTTATACAATGTAAAAACTATTTCAATTTGATGATACACTTTGATATATACTCAGTGTTCATATTTCTGTAAAAAAATACTTTGTAATTATTAATTCAAAATGGACTGAAGTATTACTGAAACAGCATATCAAAAAGAAATATCTGACAAACCATTTTGGAAAACCGGAATATCAAACAAACTGGAAAGACTTGGTGGGACATTTCTGCAAAAAGGTCTATTTAAAAAACCAAAGCAAACACTCTTGCACTGAAGGTTTTTTATTCATAAAGTTTTACTTCTAACAGGCAATTGAGAAACGTGCTACAGCACAGAAATCTCCACACAGAAACTCTTGTATATCCTCCTATAAATGGCAAATTCTTCAAATATCATCATTCAGTTTGTCTTAAAGTACAGGTGCATCAAAATCAGATGAATTATTAAAATAATTGTGTAATTAACCAATTAGAAGCTGGTGATTGTGACCTGAGAGAAAATTCCCTGAGGACCCTTCCCTTTATTAATATAATAGTAAGGCTTTGTTGATTGCTCTTCAAAATGAAGATTAATACAAATTCAGTCAGTCAACATATTAAGCATGTTTACCATTCCGAAGCTTCACTCAGTGGGATAAGAATGGTCTAAAAACACACTATTTATTTGTTCAGTTGCAATGCATTTCAAATAAGTAAAAAAAAACTTAGGATGAGGACAAAAAACAAAATCACATAAGTACATATTGTGCTTGGTTGTTTACAAAACATTTTGCCAATAGAAAATACTGTATAAATAAAAAGAAAATTTAATTTCACGTATCTTAAAGATCTTTCAGTGAGGACACTGCCTTTAGTCTCCATGGCAACAAGACCCAAGCAGTTCAGGGTTAGTATTTTGTCCGTTTAGGTGTGAAAGCAAACAGCCAGCAGCCCCTCCAGACACAAGCTCACGCCTCCTCTGCAAAACTCCACATGACCCATTACATATGAAGTCTGATGGCTCGATAAGGACGTCGAGATAAGGTGCACTGCCGAACATTAGCACTGACATGGGAGAATTAAGTCACTCCAAAACAATACATTCGACAAGCGGCAGCAAATGCACCGATTCCTGAGGCTTTCCAGGTTATTTCTGGACATTTACTTTTTCAAAAGAAAAACTAGTCCTACAAAACCAAATACTTCCAGTTATTGTCGGGTTTATTATTAATTGTGGACAACGTTATGGGCTTTAACTTTACAAATAGACCTAAATCCCAATTACATCCAGTTCTATGGAAAGCAGCGTTTTTTTTCCCAAACAAAACAAAACAAGGAAACACCAGCAGCACCAATAAACTGCGTGAACAGTGAGGCAGACAAGCTTGGGAAGATTTCTACAGCGACAAAGATGAGAGTGCAGGAGCGGAGTGAAGGACGGACTGCCTTGTGCACATTTACCTGTTAGACTGCGTGAAAGTGAGTGTGAGTGTGTGTATATGGACCTCTGAAAAATGCATTTGAGTGAGTAAGTGAGGTGTGTGTGTGTGTGCATATATGTGAGAAACTGTGAGGGTGTTCACACACCAGATTTAATCGTGTTAGTCCGTGAACCAGACCAAGGTAGTAGATTCATTAAACTGGTTAAAAAAGAACACAACACAAAATAATATCAGCAAGTTAGTAAAATTCTTACTAAGAATGTTTTATTAAAATAAATGCCAAGGAGGTTAATAAGAAAAAAATAACAGCATACACCATAAAAACTAAATGCAAGCATGTAAAAATACCTATGACAAGAGGAACTAATAAGTTGCTAATGAGTTAAACAAGCTAAAGAATCAGCAAGAAAACAAAATAACTCTAGGAAAAGGCAACGCTCCCAATGAGAGAGACATATCTGAGTAGAGTGGGCCGAGAGGGAGGGAAGAGGAGAAGAGAGGACATGAAAAAACAAACAAACAAAAAAAATAGTGTGTAGTGGGTTTCATCACAAAAGGAGATCAGAAAAAATGACTTGTACATAGAAAATGAAGTTAGAAAAATACATTAGAAACCTGTAACAATGGCTGTAATTTACATTATTACACATGTAGTAGGCAGGCGGAAGAGAGATTTCTCCATACACCTGATGGACTAACCCCAAGTCCAAAACATTAACAGCACGTAGTAACATGGCAGAGGGGATTCGCTTAATACTGTCCATTTCTCTGCAGTTATCTATGCTCCTCTCTAATATTGCATTTCATTATTTTAATGTTTAAAAAACATGTATTTAACACTGAGAAGAGAGAGAGAGAGAAAAAAAAAAGACATTGACCTTTTTTTGTGTAACAAAAGTGAAGAACAAGACAAAACCAGAGCCTGCCAGGGTTACAGGACACAAAGTTACGCGTGATCTTATTCAATCTGACGAACACCTCCGATTGCTTCAACGACTGAAAACTGCTCAGGGGAGATTTGATCTTTAGACTGTGATTTGATACTGTGGCTCTTGTGTGACTGTTCGGGTTTGGCACGAATGCGGCAGCAGACGGATATCCTTCTCATCCTCTCTCTCTCATCCATCTCACAAATACTTTTAATAAATTGCTCTATTTTCTCCCCCCCTGCATTATTTCTTTTTGTCAAATCAGTGCACTGTAAAGCTACATATTTCCCTCTGCCCTCCTCTCTCGGTCTCTGAAAGCAAAAAGCAAAAGCCAAAAAAAAAAAAAAAAAGGTACTTCCTTGGCATAAAAATTAGTATGTTTTGGCACTAAAAAAGTTGAGGCAATGATTGAAAGTTTTCAGTTTGCAAGTCTTGAAACAAGAGGAGGTTTCAGGTGAAGTCCAATTAAATGATTTCTTCTTGTAAAACACCTGGCAGACTTTCACGTCATGATTGGCAGTTCTCGACAAAAATCACAGTAACCAAATACATAGATGGCATTGCTGATTTTGTCCTCCTAATATAAGAATAACAATGCAATAAAATACAGAGAAAAATAAAACACTTTGTTCAAATGGGGATTAAAGGAAAAACAACCAGACTTCAACTTAATTTTGGGAAGACGAATCATGGCACATAGTTAGCTGGTCAAATGACTGCTATTCCTTTGCATAGAATAGATTCAGTGGCACAACACTGCAACAGCCTTGTGGTTTAACTCTTGGGGTGCTTCCTCTTCACAAACCCTCCCCCGCTCGCTCTGCGCTCTCCTAGTTGGTGCTGGATATTATTGAACAGAATGTAACACTCGGAAAAAGAAACGACCGTCGGTAAGGCACTTATCCCTCTTAACTGTACTCGTCTTCTCCTCTCATGTCATGCAATTCCTCCAACATTCCAAAGTTTGACTATTTTGGTCTGCTTTTTTTCCCCCTGGCCAATAGTATCCAAAGTCACACAACATTTCTTTATCACCTTTCGCTGTACTATTCTACAAACGGTTTTATATATATATTTTTTATTTTTTTTGTATTACGTTTCATATTTTGTAACTGCAAGTTAAGTATAAAAAGCTAAAATCGCCAAAAATATATATTTCTCCAGCACCCTGTAAAAGTATCTAATTTTGATCTTTCTGTATTTTAATATGCAATGACCTATCTACATTTGTGTATGTATGTATATATATATCATGTATGTATAAAGCAATTCGAACAGGCAGAGATGGCTTTCACATCCTATGTTTTTTAAGGGGGTGTATAGAAATGAGAGAGTGGGCTCAATAGCTGGGGGTGTGCTGGACACATTGTGGATGGGCTATCTGATACGGGCGTTTGAAACGAATCGAAATAACACAGTTGCTTCTCATTTGTGAATTTAAGTTAATAAGGGCATTAACAAGATCCCTCGCATTTTGTTTCAGCTCAGCTAACTATTTTTTTTGGAAGATGGGAGTTTTTCTATAGAATAAATCAGCAGAAACAAAAGAAAGAAAAGTGTGCACATACAGCAATGAGGTAATGCCCTCCCCCGTTCTATTTACCTCATTCATCTTCCTTAGTGTGTGTGGTTTTTTTTTTGTACATACTCAAGGAAATTAGCGTCTTGTGGTACAATTCATCACCATTTCATCCATTTTTGATTCATTATTATAACACAGATACAGGCATGGGACCAAACCTTTTCAAACCCTAGACTAGCATGACAGAACCCTTGGCGGTTAGATATATATATGAAATTCATTAAATGGAAACCCTTTGGCTAAACGCGCACACGTAATACTTTGTCTTTTTTTTTTTTCGTCTTTTATCTCACAGCTCATTCAAAGAAAGATTTGTAGAAAGTTCAGGCACTGTATATAGGGAGGGGTTGAGAGTTTTTGGGATGGCATAGTTCAGTAAACTGATTCCGGTTAATATCCCAGCTGTCCAACCCTGAATATCCTAGATTTAAAGACTCCAAAAACACTTCACCCCTATATCTCCTGCTATTGCCCTGCCTGACTCTGCTTACTGCCCCCTACTGAGCTGGCACAGATACTGCGATGAGCAGCACATATAAATCTGCAAGTATTGCCAAACGCTAATAAGATACATGGAAACATAAGAAATAAAATAGGGAGAAGTAACAGAACAAAGAAATCAAAACAAGCTTTTTGCAATCTGTCATTGTAGCCATGCTCTAAGTCAGCTGGACAGGCACACCCAGAATGTGTCAGCACAGTAAAACTAATCAAATGAAACACACAGGATTACATCAGAGAAGGACAGGAAATACACAAGTTGGTGTGAGTGCAGGTTTCTTTCCTTCTTTTTCTTTTGTTGATTCATAGTGACAGTTTAAATGGGTGGGGTAGCGTATAGACGTAATCTGGATCCTGACGCCCCGTTTAGCGTTATAACTGCTAAAACTGGGGTCATCGTCATGTTTTTTTTTAATTTTTGCTTTGAGAGTATAAATGCATTTAAGGGCTAAATTAGCAGAAGATGCTTCTTTATTGCTTTTAAACTTCAGTGCAGATTTTTGGGTAACGCAACATCACTGTTAACATCCACCCAGTCATTTGAGGTTTAAAAAGAAAGAAAGAAATAATAATAAAAAAAACAAACAAACAACATAATATAATAAAGTATCATAGTTGTTATCGCTACACAACGTGTTGGTATGGAGGGTTGTTGTGTTTTATGTTGGTTTGTGTTAGGATCACTGCTCGGACAGGTGCCTCTCTCTCTGTGTCCACCAGGCTAGCAAAAGGCAATTACCAGTTAATCTGATCAGCAGGCAGGCTTGGGCGGCTCATCATTGGGTGAAGAGTTCAGAGTTCAGAGGTCATTTGTTAGTTGCCGGTGGCGGCTAGGTGGTTAGGAACAAAAACAACAAAAAGAAAAAAAAAGGTAGAAAAGATATTAGTTAGCAAGAAGAGACCGGAATGACATCATTTTAACAGCAAAATGAATGCAATTTTTGTTTAACCCCCAAATCCATGGCCAAGAGACAAACACAGGCTAAACCTCGTTATGATCATGACACACTAACGTCATGATCAGAGTTCAATCAGAACGTTATTACATGTAATTAAAGCGCTAAAATGCCCCATGTTCCCACAAACAAAAGCAGAGAGGCATAACGTAGACAAACGAGAAACAAAAACTAGTAACATTTTAGTGTCGAGTCGAAATGCGTGTTACGAACAGTGTAATTAGTTGTGAGGGGGAAATCAGAGAGCTAGTGTTACGTTACGCAAATAAACAGATAAAGGTTGCAAAATATCACTGGATTTTTCTCTTTATTTTCAGTAAACGTATACACAAGATTCAAAAATACATCTGCTATAAAAAAATACTCAAGAGATAGTACCTTTAGTAAAACTAAAAGATAACTGGGTTTGAAGTACATTTTTACAATTAAAGAGATGAGCAAATAAAATCCGATGAGATTAACCTGAGACATAAAAAATAGTGAGGTAATAACTTAAACAGTTAGACAAATGTCTTTGCTGGCAAAGGAAACGTATTCCAATCCCTTCTTTGTATTTTAAAACGATTTAAACCAATCATATAAACAAAGCAACACAAAAAGAATAAAATCTATTTTTTGGATCTAGACGTAGTTAAGGAACGCACTGATATATAAAACTTAAACAAATGGCATTTAATTCAATTACAGTCTTGTTTCCATAAACCTGAGTGTTTCCAGAGGCATTTCATATGTAAACACATTTCCACAGTAAAGATACGCAGTGTATATGATCCCCCGTTCAGAGATAATGCAATACAAAGAATAAAAAAGGTAGAAGTATCTTTTCTAACTAACCTCTGTCTGCGGTCACTATCCTTTGGTAAGGATGGACCCGTGAATCATGTCTCCGCACTTTAGTAGCCATTGCACCTAGATTACAACAGGTCCATAAGGTTAGAAAAGTTTCAGCCCAGAAGAACACGTAAAGCCTGTGGAGCACAGCTAGACTGTGCAACCAGCCTCAAACGCTGCAGCGGAACTGTACAAACCAGAAAAATACTGAGCATTTTGACCTTTTATTTAAGAGATCCATTCAAAAAGAGGCTCAAATTTGAGCAGGCTAGCTGTGAAACAGGCTTTACATGAATTCTCATCTATATTTAAATTTAAATTGTTTCTACATAGAATACATATTCACAATATGAACACATTGGGTAGACAATTCATGAAAAAATAAGTGTAATAAATGCATACAAAAAACAAAAAAAACAACAGAATTTAATCAATATATAACTTAGAACTTAAAATTACATAGTAATTGGTTTAATTGGTTGGTAAGATTTGAGACGGGCGGGCAATGGGAAAAAAAAACAAGGTGTGTTTTAGTAAAAAACAAATTACAACAGTGGAAGCAGCGTCATTTGATAGCAAAATGTAATGAAGTTTTGACACCCTGTGATTACTGTGTGACAGCACCTGGTTTGCCACATTTCAGCAAACCGGCTAAAATACAAACTCTCTGCTCACAAGACTACATATGTAAAAAGACTAGATGACCAGTGAAAACCAAAATAGATGGAAAATTCTAAACACGTTGATTATAAAATTAATTAATACGTTATCTCCTTGTTCAATCTCAAAGGTAATGCACATAACAAATCGATCTGAAACGACTGACTGTTGATAGTGGAGTCGTAATTATCTCCATGGTAAAGGTCTTTTCTACGCCAAAAGCAAAATTCTCTATAAATTGTGAAAAAGTGAAAATGCATTTTCATACATGAATGAAGTTTCCTTTTACGCCATATGTTACTCTCTTACTATGTTACTCATATGTTGCTCTCTATAACATATATACTATGTTATAGTATATATATATATATATCAGACAGATGTGGAGCTGGCAGTTGTTAAAATATAAACAGTGGTAACAGATTAAATGTACTTGTACTAAATGTTCTACCATTTCTAATAGTCCACCTCAGTTGTTATTATTATACTGGGCTATATTTCTATATCCATGCACAAAACAGAATAACGTATTATCTATATTATCAACTTTTAGAGTGCAACCCAACTGATAAAACAAAATTCAGTTAACATGGCGTGATGATTTACAGGTTATTTAGTTCTAAATTGAAAGGGTGGATCGGTTGTATTTTGCATTAAAGCAAGGGAATTTTGAACAATCGGATGCGTTGATGTAACAATAAATTGCCACAGTTTTGATTTGTTTCACTCTTGGCATGCACAGACCTTGAGACAGATTGGTGAAGGAAGCTTTTTCAGTCTTATAGTTATTGCGTGAGACCAGGAGAGGAATGATAGAATCTATTCATTTAAAGATTTAAAACTACAATAAGAAACTGTACTTGTTTCCCCCATATCTTTTATGAGGGAAAATCTTCATTACTGATTTAAGCATGAGTAATCCTGTATGACTCCTGATGACTACCAACCCACATCATGACATCACAGAATAGTTGCTACGGACAAATGCTTTTACTCTCTTCTGGAGAAATTCTAACATTTCCCTCGAACTGTGTGTGTATATGCCCACATGCTATGCTGCAACAGCAGACAGCAGATGTCCAACAAATCACTTCTGATTGCACAGAAGCCCAGTGAGTGAGCGAGTTAAAGAGAAAAGAGAGAGGGGGGGGGGGGGGGTCGTCTGGTTTGATGTTGGATCGGTACTATAAGTAAATAAAAGGCTGCTAAGCTTGTAAGTGTTTTAAGTTTAAAAGAGGAATCCCCAGCACTGTTAGGACAGCAGAAGACCCAAATGTGCCAACTGTACAACATCCATTAAACTGAACTCAGAAAGCCCTCCATCGGATCAAAAGCTTTTCAAGCGTAACATTCAGCAACTGACACATGACTTCATCATGCTATTGATTACCATGTCCACTTAAACAATTGATTTGTTAATGTTTACACTGCTTTGATGAAAAGTGTCGAGTCTGTAAAAGAGGTTGTGATGTCGTAGTTATTATCTATCTTCTTTGCGAGAGCTTACAGAAGCAGGGGAGTATGGGTAATTCTCTCTGAATAGGGTCGAGCACTCAAGTTCACAAGGGTAAAAATAAGACAATTGGATACAGTGAGAATAGTGGAAGAATTTAATGAACATCCCCAACGGGACTCTAGGCTCTTTCTCTCTCTCTCTGGCGTTCGGCACCGGTACCAAGGCCAGGCAAGAGAGAAATGATTTCAAAAGCCTGGAGAAATCCAAGGGGATCCACCAGTAGCCTGCCTGACAAAGCCTGCGGCAAGAAGGAGAGAGACGAAAAAAAGATGTGTGCAAGCAAGCATGTCGCCACTGTCTGCGATGGCGAATGTGTGCGTGTGTCCTGAAGAAATACTTCTTACACAGCAGCAAAAAAAAAAAAAAAAAAAATTAATAAATACAATTTGGACAGACGAACACACCTCGTTTTAGACATATTTAAGTGGTCCCTTTCCCAGCCCGTCTCAGTGGCATAACATTTTTCTTTTGTGCCTAGGAAGCTATGTCTTTAATCACCTGAATTACCCAGCCCGCTAGCATGAGCTAGTCGTTACATATTTACCTTTGAGTGAGTCCTGAACGGGGCCGGGAGACGCCCCATCGAACATGCCCCCGTAAAACACCCCAGCAAAGCCCTCTTGCGGGGCACCAAAGGGTGAAGTGCCAAGCCCCCACGCCCGCTTACCTAGGACTCCGCTGTGCTCGATGGGATATTCCAGCAGAGACGTGGGTGCCAAGGCATAAGGGTAATCATAGGGCGTGGTGTAGATAATGCCCCCGTCAGGCGTCGGGGGCACCAATGTAGGGGTGCCGTTGGGTAGCACGGTGGCCATCTGAGTGGGCCGAATGATGTTCATAATGGGGGTCCCTGCCGGAGTGGGGGGCCTGAGGGCAGACGGGGAGAGGACCTGACCCGCAGGGGATGCGATCAAACGCTGGCCTTGAGCAGCCGCTGCCGCTGCTGCAAGAGAGAACGCAAGGGTGGCTGCCGTAAACGAAAGAGCGAAAGACAGAAAGAGTGAAAAGAGAGAAAGAAGCAGGATGACACAGGAAAAAGTAATGGGAGAGATAGAGCCATAGGAGGTTTGGTGTGTGTGAACGTGTGTAAAATTTTCAGAGCAGAAATGGACAAAAGGCACAAAAACAGATGTGAGAAAAGCACAGGCAGGGAAAGGAAAATAGAAGTACATGAAGAGGAAAAAAGAGGGTGGGGGAAAAAAATAAAGGAAAATTAGTCCATGCGATGGTCAATGAACAACATATAAAAAAAGTCACATTCTGAAGCAAACTAAAACAAACCCCACAACCAAAATCATTACAGAAAATTAAATCAAAACTAAAACAACAAGGAGAAACTGATGATTGATAATAAAAGGGCAAACTGATCATCAAAACACAGGCACTAATACAGTACACAACATAGTAACAGATTTAAAGCAGCACATCTGAACTTACTGTCCTGTGTGGCATGTGGCATTTTTAGGGCTGTATCTCTACAGTGGACTTTCCTAGAATTGATTCAATTAACTTGCCATAAGCTTTCCCACATGAATCAAAACCTCCACATGCCACTGGGACATTTAGTGCAGATGTTGAGAGGAAATAATCACAACAGGGCTGAAAACATTAAAATGCTTGTAAGCATTCTGCACAGAAGCCGAACAGAATCGAACACGTGTGCTTCTTCCAAAGAAATGTCCGTCATATATATCCAAATATGCATGCCCACAATCATAAAACATCCACTATATATTATATTTTTTATTATATTATATTATATAAACAATCATGCAAATGTTACTTTAAAGAGCAGTATATACAAGCCCAAATCTCTCCATGTCAATGTAGATATGCATTGCTATAATGGATATGTATGACATGAGCAGAGTTGTATGCAAATACCTTTAAACAATAATACACATTTATGACTTGAAGACAACCTAAAAATCACAATCATGCAGCAAAATGATTGTGTACGCCACACCAAGATTACACAGGCTGTGATTGCATTTGGAACAGCTTTGGAAGGAGAGGGAGGAAGAGAAAAAGAGAGGGAGAGACAGAGGGAGGGATAAAGAGAGACAGAAATACTAGACTGTGGGCAGATGATTAGATGTTTTCAATGGGGAGTCTGCAGTGGTAAGGATTCTTTTTAGAATTAACACAAGCATCTTGTCTAATGAACTCTAAAGTGCTCTGCTTTTTTAATTGCTCATTTATGGTCAGAATAAGAAAGCACAAAAAAAGTCTTCTATATGTCACTGCATGTGTGTGTGTTCATTTGCACATGAATTAAGAATGGATAGAAGAGATGGATTATGGCCAACACATTTGGGTGTGATATTGCGTGTGTAAGCATTTAAACAAGTGTCTTTAGTCTTGGTGAACACAATCACAAACTCAATTTCTTAATAGTTGTCTTGTAGGTTGTCATATAACTAAATTATTGTCTTATTGTCTTTCAATAATAAAATAGTTGTCTTTTATTCAGGAGTGTGTGTTTATACAGAGCTCCTAATTATCTAAGCTGTTGGTGTAAATGTCTCTGCTTACGCGTTTTTATGTTGGTGTCTCTGTACGTTCCGTTCAGAATGGCCAGCTCCATCAGCTGCATCTTCTTTAGATTATCTTCTCCTTCTGCCTAAGAAAAGAAACAGACCATCATTACTCACACAATTAATCACCAACCACTTGTAGCATTAACGCAAAATCAGACAAGTATTTAAATTGACAGTGAATATGTAGAATAATAGAATTTATATGAACATTACTTCAAATAATAATGAAAAAAATAACTAACTAGCGTTGGAGCAGAACGCAGTAAACATCTACTCTAGGCAGGAACTAAAAGTCTAGTGCTTTTAGAAAGGGAAGGATTCACACTTTTGATTACAGAGAAAGAGTAAAGAGTAAACCAAACATGAGATCTCTCAACACCGAGCTACTAAAATACCCAAAAAACGCAAAAGGGACTCGTATTTCCAACTGCAGAGAGAGAGAGAGAGAGAGAGAGAGAGAGAGAGAGAGAGAGAGAGAGAGAGAGAGAGAGAGAGAGAGAGAGAGAGAGAGAGAGAGAGAGAGAGATGAGCAACCAGTTGAATTCAGATTTACATATCAAGCTACAGACACACTGGAGGACTGGGATACCTTTAACTTTTCATGGTGTTTCAGAGTTAACTTAGGAGCACACACATCAAAGGCCAAACTACTTTGACAGACACCATATTTGAGTGGTATTGTGAGAGTTGCCCTTAAGGGACTTAAGACTGCAGAAATAACGCTACTCTAGATTAGTCAAAATCTACACATCCACATGACTCAAAGCTGAGATAGACCCAGACTCAGAGTAATTTCCTCAATCAGAGAGAAGAACAAAAATGGCACTGAAGCTACGGAATGCACCACCATGAATGACTCGCCCATTCCTATGAACTTAAGTAATTCAATAGAGACACAAAAACATTGTCTTACAGAAAGTGGAGCTTTTGTTTGAACCCTTTACAACCGTTGTGCTTGTTACAATAACACCACTCATGTGAAGACAGAACAAGAAAAAAAGACCCAGGTTAATTGAACAGAGTGCAGAAAAGAAAGGAAAAATCTTCATTTGTCCACTTGATGTCTTCTGAGCCTGACAAAATACAGTGATAAAACACTGATAAAAACAGCGTTCAGTGCCGTCCTTCACACATTTCACCTAACATTAGTCCTGTAAATTTTGTGAGAGCAGATCAAATCCTCTACCACTAGCCTATCATACACAGTGAAAATGAACAGACATGCACACATTGAAAGTGATCAATGACCGAGCAGCATTCCTGTCAAACATCCTTCCTCTGCCTTACAAATGATGTCTGTTCGCTCCTACACTGGCCAGCAAATCAGAGTTTCGGCACAGCTGCTCTAATGCTGTCTGAACTGACAAAGAGTTTGCCATTCAACAAGGGAAAAGATCTGCTCCAGTGTTTCCTGTACAAGCATGCACACAGGTCCTCAGCCAATGAGGGTGAACCCCCAGTACAGAGCCACACCGATAGATACGATAAGCGCCAAAAGTGTGTAATTTACTTGCCCATGTCTTTCTAGACTTTCCACAAAAAACAAAAGTAGTTAGTGGGCAAAATATCTAGTTTACCCTATCACCCTATCGGCTCGCTTTTGTTTGGTTTTCCACCGTACCTGCTTTTCGGGTACTTTTTTTAGTATCACCTCCGGCGAGGTTCTGAGCGAGCTAAGCCGGTACTAAAATGTGACGTGAAAACAATGCCGACTGCTGGTTAGTCAGAGAGAATAGTCACCATTCACTGCGTCATCATTGCACGCACCAGATGGAGTATCCAGAATATCCCCGCCATTTTTAAATAGTTTGGCCAGAGATAGTTTCTAAACTTACTACTACTATTATTATTATGTCAACTCAGAAAAATACACAGTGGTCAAACGAGGAGGCGCAGACTTTCCTTTGTTTGGTTGCCGAAGAGAGGATCCAGCGAGAGCTTGATAGGGCAGCGAGGAACGAAAGGCGTCACTATGATGACCGGGTACTATTTGTGGCGCTACTGTCTGCAATGGAAAACGGAGTGAAAAGCGATCCGAGTCAAGCTGGTACTGGTAATGGAAAAGCTCCATAAGAGAGGTGAGGAAGAGGATAAACGAGTCAAAAAAGCCCCAAAACACCATAAACAATCACGCTTTCGTTTCTGCTGAAGCAGGACTTTGTGTTGTTGGCTCAGCTCTAAATCCAAATAACAACATCTCAGTGCTGACCGTAAAAGCAGATGGAGTCGATTTTCTCTCGTCCCACAAACTAAGACTTTGTTTCTGGCTCATTCTGCAGCGTATTTAATGAGGCTGCAGTGCCTCTGGTCAGTAAGTGTAACTCCCCACAGGTCTGCGATGACAGGGATTACTGGAGCAGAGACTTCCTTCAAGGGCTGATGACGCTGCTCCTCAGATATAGGAGTTATAACACCCTCTTTCTCTGATTCTTCCTCTCGAGATACAGGCATTCACAGGATGTTTGTAAAAAAGAAAGAAAATAAATTATTACAGGCGAGGGAGGGGAGGGAGGAAGTAAAATAAAGGAAGTGTGCATTCCAGAGAGCTGTGTGTCATCAGAAGGGGGAGGCTCTGGGGAGACATCCCTCTGATTTAAGCAACAAAAGCTGACACCGAGAGAACGTTTCCACACACACTCTGGGTGTGAGACATCAGGGAAGGCCGCTCAATAATCCTGCTCTATCCACAGGAATCAGATTCAATCAATGGGGTCTATTTGTAAGGGCAGCGGAGTGAAGCGGCCCTCATTGGCCGTGGGGGAGGACAGGGAACAGTAGACTGTGAAAGCAGAGCTTGTGAGCACATCAATTTTGCTACATGCACAGAACTACAGCATTTCCTCTTCATAATAAATCGTTTACAGCCAATTCTGAGGCCATTTGCTTTTTCAGTCCAAAACGGTAGATCTGTGGTGTCCACCAGCAAGTGTTCATATCCAGCTGAAAATCTTGCATGCTTAAATTATATTCGAGTGAAACATTACATACACAGAGCCAAGTCAGGTCTTTACAGATGTTTCATTTTAAGTTGCAATACAATTCAAGGTCATATTTAACTAAAATTGCCCACCCGATAAGAAAAGTAGACCAGCGAAATATTTAAGTTGCAAGAGAAAGCTCTATAATTTCTCTAGGATTATTAGCATTACCTTCCAGTCACTTCCAGCAAAGTTGCCTACAAAATATCTGTCAACTCCACCCTCACCACCAAATATTCAACAAATCTACATGATTGAGACGGTTTTATCCACCTTAGAAATAATTTCAAAAATCCTGACTGTGTTGTGAAAGCTTCAGCATGAGCTTCAGTATGAACTTCAGCAGTCAGTCAGTGATGAGAAATTACTGTGCATGACAAGCCGTTATAGCACCCTTCTGCCGTCAACTGCATGGAGGTAATGCCCTGCATACACTCAGACAGTTAGCTTGAGTGGAACTAAACCAGTTTTCAGAGTAAAACTACTAATGTTTTCCTTTATTTTGTTTCTTAATGGAAGAGAGGGTTTAAAGTTTGGTAGAGTAAAGCACAGATGCGTTCCTCGTTTGTGATGGTAATTGAATAATGTACTTCATTGGGAACTTTCACTGAAAAGCTAAAAAAAACAATATCCTAAATGTACAGTGACAAAAGTTTAAAAAAAAAAGCATACATTGCTTTAAATACATAAATAAACAAAAATAAAACCTAAGGCTTTAATGCCTTTACTATTATTCAGTGATCAATAATGCCACCTTCAAAAAATATCACAATATCTCAAGAATTTGGGAATTCGGATCCACACATAAAAGCAATGGATGGTGATTAAAATGAGGGGATTAAATGCATCAAACAAGCATTCTCACAGTGAATCTATTTGTATTACATCTAATCAGTTGTAATACTAGGCTGAAAATGCAAAAGGTTGCAAGTTTTATCTTGAGAAGTCTTCCCCTAAAGCAAGACGCACAATGTGCGTCATATACATTGCTTCGAATATAAAGGTCTGTGAAATGACCACCATATGAAATGTAGGCCAGGTTGGAGTGTGATAGCTGTATTTAAAATGCTGCACAGATGTTTACATAGGCACCCATACGGGATTACGCTGGATTTCACCAGAGAGGGCTGTGAGGAAAGAGATCAGAGTGAACGAACAAACAAAATAAAGCACAACAGAAGATGAGGAGGGAGGGGTGCAAAAACAGAGGGAGCATTAAAATGATCCATGATTTCCATTGGTGCAACACATTGTAAAACCTTCAGCTGACTCGCCCTCTTCTCTCTCTCGCTTTCTAATTTTCCCTCCCCTCTTCCTATTTCTCTCTCTCTCTCTCTCGCTGCCAGACGATGTTTTGTTCTGCTCCTATGATCCTTTAATGCCACCCAATCGAGCCGAGAATATCTTGAAAGGATTTGGAAAGGCTGATCTGGAGGTTTAAATACTGCCGGATTTGCATCAGATTCTGAGATTTGAGAGTCAAAGCTGATCCGCGTGCTCTGTGCCGCCTGTGCTGTCAGCTCTGGACTGTGACCCAACCTCGTCCGCTTTACAACCCCCTTAACCTTGTGTTCATCAGGGGCAAATGGGAGGAATGAATCAGCGGAGGAAAAAGGGCCTGAATAAATAAATCTGCAAATCCTAATAAAAGCAGAACTCTAATGACAGCCCCTTGAACATGCAGAGTGGACTGATGGACCACATTGAGGCTAATTTGAAAACAGTGCTCCCTGACGGCCCAGAAGAGGTTACTTCACAGTCAAGGATAGCAGCTGCAAAGCGAATATACAATATTAAAAGTGTTGGCCAGCGCAGTCAAGGTCTCTACTGTGATGGCCAAACTGCTCTGTGGGTCAGGGCCAATATATTAGCAAGCAGAAGGCACAGAGCCTAATATACTAATGCATGCTGCGTGAAAAGATGTTTTGCTTGAGCAAAATTGGAAAACATATTGCATTTGAAAGTAACTGAATACACACACAATCTTGATGGCATGTTCTGCTGACTTCAGGAGTCACAATGGGAAATTATAAACAAAAGCCCCTTTCACACAGTGCGTTGATCCCGAGAAATTGCCGGTAAATTGCCAGAACGCCTTCTGTGTG